ATACTAACATGCGTCCGGTACAATATGATGCCATAACAACGATCAATGTAAGTAAATTGTACCAGGAAAATTTTTTCAAAATAAACAACGACGTTTCGAGCATAGCCCGTTATCAAGTCAGTTTAGCATAGCCCATTCACTTGATAACGGGCTATGCTCGAAACGTCGTTTTTTATTTAAAAAAAAAATTCCTGGTACAATTTACTTACATTGATCGTTATTGTGACTTCATTCAAGGTTCGATATTGTTGTCTTCTGGTTCTTGAATAAATTTACTGACGCCAGAGTAAATTTTTGAAACCCCCTCCGTTTTATCCCATCCTTAGCATGCCGTATGTTATCTTATGATTTTGTGGTAATAGCAGCAGCCTAAGGCAACATCATAATCTAGAAAATTAAACATTAACTTATGACAACATAATGATCTTAACATTGAAGTTTAGATATAGACAGCATAGGCTAGAGTATAAGATTGCATAAGTTCTCGTAAGGTTAAGATTTTTCGACAGGGGAAAGAAACAAGCACATGAAATAGTCATCATGGGGTGTTTGAGGCAAAGCCCTAATACCCGGAAGGTTGGAAAATATGAATGAAAGAGTCTAATGAATTGTCGAATGGATTAGTGGAGAAATCGAATTTGCATTACCTCTTGACCTACCATTATCATCATACTGTTTCTAAAATCGTGTTTCTAAGAACATTTACATTTACCAACAATCGTTGATAACTCCAGACGACTCTGCAACATTCTAATGTTGAGTTTGGTTTTCAATGGCTTCAGTTTGCCAACTATCTGTTAAATTAGAAAACGTGCCGATGAGCGAAGAGGATCAAATCGAAATGAAAATGAAAACATTCAAATATTCCCCTGACAATCATTCATGGCTTTATTTATGCTGTTACGCTTTTGCCATCTCGGCAACAACTCCCTTTTCATGTAAAATAACTCACTTAAATAATAATATACAAACAAAAGATGATTAAGGGCTAAGAAAATGTGATAAGTTCATTCATTTAATTAAACACGAAAACGAGACTACGGATACTAAATTGTCAAATCATATTAGA